GCTCCGTTCGGGACGAAGGTTTTGGTTCGACGACGAGAATATGGTGGAAGCGCGGAGCCTGGGAAGCCTGATGATTTGAGTCCGCGGTGGATAGAAGGCTTCTACGTGGGACTGTCGGATACCCTTCGTCGAGGTCATGTGGTGTATGTGTCCAACGAAGATGGGGAGAAGTTCATACACACCGTACATGTTCGGGCTCATGTGGTGGATCCTGGTCTACCTGAAGGTGAAGTGGAAGCTGATCTCCCGGGACCTCCGAGCAGAAGGGTCTCAGAAAAGGCCCGTGGCAGTGGGGATGTGGTCTCAATTTCCAAATCCAGCCCGGTGTTCGGAGACGAAAACCTTAAGAGCGAAATCAACCGTGTGTTGGAACACTGGGATGAGGAGGAGGCGCACAGCCTGGCCGTTCAGGTAGCCTTGAGTCTAGGCGAAGGAGATCGAAAGTTTGGAGTGTTTCGTCATGGAGGCTCTGTTGGTCTTACCAAGGTCACGTATGACAAGCCTTGGGGAGCGGAGCTGCTGGTGAGATTGATGCGAGAAAGGAGTCCAGAGGCAGAGTTTTCGGCGTTGTATGTGTCAGTCAACACCACCAGAGAAGTTCACATTGATGTCAACAACCTTGTTGGGAAGGACAATTTTGTATATCCTTTGGTGTTGCCCCGTCGAGGAGGAGATCTGTGGATTGAGCTTGGAGACGGTGACGTGGTGCGAGGCAAGGTGATTGAGATGATCGATCATAAAGGGTCTCCTCGCTATGGGTGTGTTCAGCCGCTGATTGAAAGGAAGCCTTTTGCCTTTAACCCACATCGAAGGCACGCAGTGATGCCATGGAAAGGCTTAAGAGTTGTGCTGATTGGCTACACTCCAGGAGTTCCGCAGAACCTCAAGGGCCCCGAGCGTCAAATCCTGTCGGAGTTAGGGTTTCCAGTACCTGCTGATTTGTATGACCAAGAGCCCACAGTTGCCTTGAGAGCCTTGTCGGTGACCAAGTTTGACAAGGAGAAGGTGATAGAGTTTGAGGAGGAGGATGGTGAGAGCTATGGGAACTTAGAGGAAATTCCTACATCTAGTGGGGAACCACTGTTTGTCCCAGGCCCAGATCTACCTCAAGGTCTTCCACGAAGTGATGAAGGTGACCCGCAACAGGTTGAGCAGGAGGAGTGGAGTTTGTGGGATATGTTCATTCCTTTAGGAGATGGCGATCCAGATCGTGTTCCCAAGGCGATGATTGCGTCATGTGATGGGCATCCTCAGCTGTGTAAGAATGAAGTGGTGTACACCAAGAACGTCGAGTCGTTGCTGAGCTCACTTACGGGGCCGTTGGACATCGTGCATACAGTAGACCCAGCAGAGGCACTGGAATGCATAGAGCACTGGTTGCCAGCCATAGGCAAAGAGATGGGTTCATTTGAGCCAGCAGTGCTTAAAAGGAAGATGTCAGACCCGGCAGTTCAAAAGGATTTGCGAACTGGAGCTGCTCGATTGGTGCCGATGAAGATCGTTTACACAGCAAAGCCTCCCACTGAGGTAGAGATTGAAAACGAAGAATGGTTTCGGCGAAAGGCGAGGATCGTTGCTTGCGGCAATATGATGCAAGAGAGCGGACAGGAAACCTTTGCACCTACTGCTCCTGCTGAGATCGTCAGGAGCTCACTCGCTATATCCAGCCAAGAAGGCTGGGATGCAGCGATCCTGGACATTACGAGCGCCTTCCTTCTGACTCCAATCAGTGCAGAGAAGTGTGGCTACAGAGTCATAGGCCAGCCACCCCGGGCTCTCGTTCGAGCCGGGCTCTGTGAGCCCGATGAAGTTTGGGAATTCACAAGAGCAGTCTACGGACTAAGAGAATCCCCGAAGTGGTGGGGGGACTATAGAGATGAAGAAGTTGCTCGCTTAGTCATCGAGCTTGACGGCCAGCGCATTGAGCTGATGAGGTGTCGTGTTGAAACCAGCTGGTGGAAAGTTGTTCAAGGAGCGACTTTGATAGGGCTGTTGGTGATCTATGTCGACGATATCCTTATATGTGCGCTGCCTCCAGTGATCAAGGCGGTGGCGAAGGCAATACAGGCATTGTGGCGTACGAGTGCACTGGCATTTGCTTCAGAAGGTCGTGTCAGATTCTTGGGTATTGAAATCGAGAAGATACCTGATGGGTTTGCGTTGAGCCAGCAGTCATATATTGCCGAGCTTGTCAGGACCCATGGAGTGAAAGAAACCCAAAGGGATTTGATTCCCGTGAGCCGAGACCTAGCAAGGTTTGAGTCAAGTCCAGATGAAGCAGTGTTTTCTACCGAAGACCTTAGGGAAGCTCAGCGCTATGCGGGAGAGATTTTGTGGATGGCCCAGAGAACTCGCCCGGATATATCGTACACAGCATCCCTGGTCGCTTCCCTAAGTTCAAGAGCACCCCGGAGGGCATCAATGATCACTAGAAAGGCCATTGGGTTTTTGCAAAGAACTGCCGAGTATCAGCTTGTGATCCAGTCAGAGGGGAGCCAGTTAACTTCGTGGAGCGATGCGAGTTATGCCCCAGAAGGAACGAGATCCCACACTGGGATTTTGATCGAGTTGGGATCAGCACCTCTGGCATGGAAATCGTCAAGGCAAACGCTAGTAACGTTGTCTACAGCTGAAGCGGAGCTGGTGTCGGTTACCGAGGGTGCGCTAATCATGACGAACATTGCTGCGATGATAGAAGAACTTGGGTGGAAGAAGTTGATCAAGCTTCTGAAGACTGATTCTACGGCGGCGTTGGCAATTCAGAAAGGGAGTGGATCACAGCGAACCAGACATTTGAGGATTCGCTCCAGCTGGGTTGCCGAAAGGATCGACGAAGGCGATTTTGAAGCTGAACATTGTGCCGGAGAGGGTCAGCTAGCGGATGCACTAACGAAGCCTTTGTCGTCTTCAAGATTGGCACAGTTGTCGAAGTTGATTGGGCTATGGAGTCGAGAGAAGCTTCAAGGCTATGTTGCTCAGTCCACTGCAAGTTGCTCGACAAGGCCTGGGACTCCGAGTGTGCTAATTGCATTGCTGGTTTTGTCTCAAGCAGTTGGACAAGCAGAGGGCTTCGAGCTTGTACCTCATGAGCCGTTAGCTGTTGATCATGGGATGCTCGCATGGGCTGTGTTTGGTGTCATTCTTCTGTCTTGGATTGGAGCCTGGGAACTACTGAAGTATGCTGGTTGGCATGTGTATTATGGCGCTGTTCCTGGGGCTACAGAACGGAGAATGAGGAGATTACAGAGGATCAGAGACACAACAGCCAGAGCTATACGTGATGAGCTGGACTCAAGAAGGGCAGCCCGTGAACTTGAGCGACAACGACCAGTTGAAATCAGGCGAGCTCAGGACTTGTCCAGAGCAGAGAGTTCAGCCGGACCTGGAGATCGAGCTGAAACTTCTAGGAGAGTACCAAGCACTCCGCTTGGGGGCCGCACTGTTTACCGAGCAGATCAAAGAGACAGGTCAACACAGACTACCGGGCCTGCATTTGCTCCTGTTGTGCCAGAAGTTCGCACCGAGGTGCGTACACAGGTGCGAGTGCCAGAGCAAGTCCATATAGTTCCCGGAAATCCATGTTTTCATGTTTACAATCCCTGCCATGCTTTTCGTCATCACGGAACACAAGACAGAGTACAGACTTTGAGGATTTGTGAGTACTGCGTGAGACATCAGGGAAGGGACCCTCAAGGTCCGAGAGAAGGCGGAATTGATGAGATTCTGCGAAGAGGCGGAAGGCCGCTCTACGATCGTCCTGGTGAAGAGTGGTGAAGGCAATCGTGCACTATCGGCACGCTTGAGGAGGAGTGAAGAAATCCCTTGGTCCCTCATGTCGGAACATGGCAGTTCGCTGAGTGTACATGAGCGAGGTTTTGATTGTGAAGTGTTTTGTCTGCTGCCGCTATCAAAGACAAGGCTACGTGAACACAGTCTTGGGCCATGCAGCATGTCACAGTGTATAGCTTTTACAACAAGGCCGGTAAGTGCCATTACGAAGTAGTCTAATCTGACAGGTGCTGTAAGCACGTCTGCAGAAGACGCAAGGAGTCAGCGTTTGTTGTGCGTGAAAACCCAGTAAGATCGACCGCTTGATTGCCATGCGTTTGCTGTAAGAGCTGTCTGGTGGATACAGGAAAAGCCTTTGCTTTTGGCTTTTTGAATAAGGGTTACTTTATTACCATAAGGGTTACTATAAGGGTTACTATAAGGGATCTATAATTTGTACTATATTATTGGCTTCGGGTCTTGCAGGGTTTGCACCCTCGACCCTGCATCCGAAGGCCCTGACCCCTCCAGGGCCCCCCGGAGTACCCTTTAATAATACAGCCCTTATGGTCCGTTTTAGTGGGTATTTAGGGTATAATAGAGAGGGCTATGGTCCTTAATAGTGGGTGAATTTAAGGTATAATAGAGAGGGCTATGGTCCTTAATAGTGGGTATGTAGGGTATACTAGAGGGTAGGTGGGGGGTTTAGGTTCAGCCAGAAAGCCTCAGCCTCAGCCGCTCACCCGAAACTTCCAAGTCAATGACCTGACAAGCCTCACCTGTAGGCTCAACTGAGCATTGGACCACACTCCCAGGTGGGAGGGAGAGTGCGAGAGCGAGTGAGAGAAAGCCAAAGATAATGCTTCTCCGCCAAAATGGAGCAACCATATCTTCTAGGATCTGTCCTGGCAGGGGACCCCCAAAACCCTAAACCCTAAACCCTAATCCCTTGACTACCCACTATGGGGGCCCATAAGGGCTATAATGAAGGGTACTTGGATCTGCCGACAGCGTCTTCCTTGCGAGTCCGATGGCAAAACGTGCACAGGAGAGGTCGTAGGTCAGTCGCCAGGTTGTTTGGATTAAGGCTCCCTAGGAGCCTTTTTTGCCGTTATCAGGGTGTATTGGCTTTTGGGGTTTTAGTGTTTAGGGTTTTAGGGTTTAATTAGGGTTTTAGGGTTTAGGCTTTAGGGTTAATCTCTTATTCTATGGCGGCATCCGGTCGCGCGAAGGTATGCCACCGTCCGGAATCGGCCGATCCTGGCCACAAGCTCCCATTGCAATGCTCTGATCCTGATTGATCAGGAGGGCTCTGTCAAGGTGCCCCAAGGCTTTGCCTTGCTGGATCTGCCAGGAGACATGATTCCTCTAAGACTCCGATGGATCTGGCTCGAACTAAGCATGATTGATGTACCGCCATCTTGCTGGTATGCTTGGATTGTTATTCAGGCTGCTGAGAATTTCAGGGAGCAAAGCATCGTGGCACTATTCAAGCACCTAACCCCCCCCCAAAAAAAAAGTATGTAAAATAATGGCCCAATACCTGTAAAAGGCTATAACTCTACATACTTTGCCAGGTAGTTCCCCAACTACTGAGACTTCCTTCCTCGAAGGAGAACCCATGACTTCGCGAGTTTCGGTCTTTGATCTTCCCTTTGCCAAGCTTGATTGCTTGTCGATTTTTTGTGGCCTGTGTATGGAATCCGGAAGACTGCAGAAACTAGTAGTTGCACTCTTCAGAACCTCCATTCTGACATATTCTGATGGCTTATCTGCAGTCAGTAAGGGCCATGCCACTTCCCATCTAAGTGCAGGGCACTTCTTTTGTGCAGAACCTTAGTGTTTCCTAACCCCAAAGGGTCCAAGTACCATCATAGTAGGTACTTGGTAGGTATTTGGGCCCCCAAAGTATATACTATACCGTTACTTGGACCCTTTGGGGACCTTGAACCCTATAATAAAAACCCGAAGCCCTATAAATAAACCCTATAGACCCTAAGCCCTATAAGTAAGCCTTTTCTGGAACGTTCACGGCAGGCCTGGGGCGAGAATGCGCCGCCCAGCAAGATGTTGCTGAAGGCCGTGGCTTAGAGGGTTTAGGGATTATGGTTTAGGGTTTAGAGGTTGTTTTAGGCTTTAGAGCTTGGGGAAGTAGCTTGGCAGGTTGAAGCTTAGATCTATGAGGGTTGGGGGATCGGCTTCGTGCATAGGAAATGCACAGTGGTTTGCGGTTTGGGGGTTCAGATATTTATCAGGGTCTGGTGTTTTTTTTGTATTTAGGCGATTTGGAGCGTTTGAGGTTTAGGGCTATGGTTCAAGAGTTTGTTTTTACAGGTTTACCGGGTCTCAACCGGCTTTTCAGTCCCCGGTTTTGCCTGGGTCTTCTGTTCAACGTCTCCAAATCCCTGATCTTTGTTCGCGGCTGTGCAGCCTCAACAGGGATGTGGGTCTGTAGCATGCAAGAACCTGGGTTTGGAGTACCATGCTCGAATACTTTTTTGGTACCTGTTCCGTAAAGGAACCATTATGAAACAAGAGTCTATGTTAGGTACGGCCCCCATACGGTAAGAGTCTATAATAGGGCTACTATTATATTACTGAGTGGGGGCAGCTCGGTTTATAGGGTTTAGGGTTGAAGGCGTGCGCTCAGGGTTTATTTCAGGTCTGTTGGCTTATAATTATGGGTTCAGGTTTTAAGGGATTTTGTGGACATTTCCGTGCGGCATGTCGATTACCGTGGAAGTTTCACTGCTCAGTGGCAAGACAACTACTGTGCGAGTCGGCCTGGACGAAACTGTAGGCACGCTGACACAACGGGCACAGATCGCCCTGGGAGTCGGGAAAGGGGTTCTGCTGGACTCGTCTGGAGTCGTTCTGGACGGACGTACACTGACTGAGAAAGCCACGGTACAGAACGGGGACTCGCTGACCTTTCATGCAATAGGAGTTCAAATCCAGTCTACTGGATGTGCTTTTGCTGCTATTCTTGGTGATGGCTCGGTTGTGACCTGGGGTGATGCCGACCGCGGCGGCGACAGCAGCGCTGTGCAGGATGAGCTGAGGAATGTGCAGCAGATCCAAGCCTCTAGCTCTGCCTTCGCTGCCATTCTTGGCGATGGATCCGTGGTAACCTGGGGCATTGCTGCCTACGGTGGCAACAGTCGTGCGGTGCAGGGTCAGCTGAAGAATGTGCAGCAGATCCAAGCCTGTGGCGGCGCTTTTGCAGCCATTCTCGGTGATGGATCAGTCGTGACCTGGGGCCATGCCGGCTGGGGTGGCGACAGTAGTGCTGTGCAGGATCAGTTGAAGAATGTGCAGCAGATCCAAGCATCTTCACAGGCGTTTGCTGCCATTCTTGGTGATGGATCGGTTGTGACTTGGGGTCATGCTGACTTTGGTGGCGACAGCAGTGCTGTGCAGGGTCAGTTGAAGCATGTGCAGCAGATCCAAGCCTCTCCGAGGGCTTTTGCTGCTATTCTCGGCGATGGATCTGCTGTGACGTGGGGTAATGCTGACTTTGGTGCTAACAGGAGCACTTTCGCTACCCTTCTTGACGATGGATCCGTGGTGACCTGGGGTCATGCTGTGCAGAGTCAGCTGAAGAATGTGCAGCAGATCCAAGCCTCTGGCTCTGCATTTGCTGCCATTCTTGTTGATGGATCCGTGGTAACCTGGGGCACTGCTGCCTACGGTGGCAACAGTCGTGCCGTGCAGGGTCAGCTGAACAATGTGCAGCAGATCCAAGCCTGTGGCGGCGCTTTTGCTGCCATTCTTGGTGATGGATCGGTCGTGACCTGGGGTCATGCCGGCTGGGGTGGCGACAGTAGTGCTGTGCAGGGTCAGCTGAAGAATGTGCAGCAGATCCAAGCATCTTCACAAGCGTTTGCTGCCATTCTCGGCGATGGATCTGTAGTGACCTGGGGTAGTGCTTTCTTTGGTGGTGACAGCAGTGCTGCGCAGAGTCAGCTAAAGCATGTGAAGCAGATCCATGCATCTCGCGGCGCTTTTGCTGCCATTCTTGGCGATGGGTCTGTCGTTACCTGGGGTCATGCCGCTTTTGGCGGTAACAGCAATGCTGTACAGAGCAAGCTGACGAATGTGCAGCAGATCCAAGCATCTTCACAGGCTTTTGCTGCTATTGTCAGTGATGGATCTGTTTTGACTTGGGGTAATGCTGACAACGGCGGTGACAGTAGTTCTGTGCAGGGTCAGCTGAAGAATGTGTAGCAGATCCCAGCCTCTCGCAAGCCTCTCGCAAGCCTTTCTGGAATTCTTGGCGATGGAATCCGTCGGGACCTCAATCAATGCTGACTCTGCTCGTGACAGTGTGCCGCACCAGCTAAACACTGTCCGATAGATCCACGATGGTCGATGTGTGCTTGTGATTCGTTGGGCTCCTATTTTTTTGGGGGGGTCCCTTAATATAATCATAGTATAATGGGCCCCAAAGCCCTGTTCTAACTATTAAGACTCCTATACTAGGCAAGCTGCAGTGCGTCAGAGACACCAGAGCAACACATCAAGTTCAGTGCATCTGCAAGGACACCGCATCAAAACGCCGACCTGATGCTGGCAACATGTGGGTGGTTGTCAAGATTACGGTTCCGTTTTGGGTCCCCAATATAGTACGGCACCTCAGATTCAGGGTACCCAAAAAGGGACCTTAATTTTGACAAGCACCCATGTGGCAGCCGTGAGCCAGCCCTGAACTTCACACAGCCAAAGCTCTACAAGACCTGAGCCCAAAAGCCCTGCACCCTACGAAAGTGCAAAGGCCCTAAACTCCAAACCGTACAAATCCAAATTAGCCCTCAACTCAAAAGAACCCAAACAACCCCCGAAACCCTCAACTCAAGGTCTTGGCATTCGCCTCTATTCTTTTCAAACCCTAGACTCGGTGCTAAATGATCCCTACACCCTTTGGGGTTTAGTGGTTCAGGGTTTCGTGGTTTACCGTTTCGGAGTACATGTACCTGGACGAATGACCCGATGCCCTAAAGGCTCGGGTTTTGGGTTTGAGGGCTTGGATGCCCAAAGAGACTATGCCAAAGACGACTAAGCAAGGGGTTGTGCGCATCGCAGGCTCTGATGTACCTAGTGCAGATTAGAGAATACTGAGGCGAACTATAACCCTGATCACCCTAGCAGAACCCCCAGCTTGGTACTGTACCCTACAGCATAATTAATACTACAACACTAAGCTCTGCTTAAGCTAGCACTATTGCTCATGGACAAGTAAAGGAGTCTGTGCATTAGGTATTCTCGTGAAATCATCACCCGGGGATCCAAAAACCAACCTTTCTGAGGGGGGGTTCTACCCTATAATTAAGGGGTCATAACCTAGTATGTTTGCAGGGTTTGGGGTTGCAGGTAAACCATCTTAAGCCATTTTATTGGCCTCGTACGGTTAATTGGGCAGGAGTCTACATTACTTCCAGCCTAGTTGTACAGCCCCTAAGTATAGTTGCACAAGTCTTATTTGAGTCTGATGCACAGACAAGTTCAAACTACTTGTATCCAAAAAATGTGCACTAATCACAAGGAATCCCCAAAAAAACAAAGCCCTAAATTCCAAGGATACCCTCCAAATAATCAACATCTATGTGCCAGGACATTCGGCGCCTTCAGATCTCTGCCGGAGCAGCAGCCGCCATCCTACCAGATGGCTCTGTGGCGCACCATGGGCTGCAGAACCTGCAAGGTTTACCCATAGGCTCCATAGTAGTTCCTTTTGGGGGTTCATATTCAGAATCCTATAAGGTAACCGCTACTTCGGAGCCTCTGGGTACCTGTAACCGAACAAACCCTACCTTTCGAGGGGTCCTTTAAGTATTACTCAGAGGCCGACATGAACTGCAAGCCAGCAACCAGGTGTTGATGGCGTCTCACTTTGAGGGACCATGAGCCTTTATTTACCGATCGCTGAGCTGTTTGTTGCTTTGGTTTAGTGTTTGGCGTTTAGGGTTTAAGGTGTAGGGACATGACCCCCTAAGCAAGCTTGCTTACACGCCCTACATTCCTGAAGTTTGTAAAGCACAAGCGATGGGCGATGGTTCCAAGCCCCCAAGCCCCAAAAACCCCGCACACTGGCTAGACCTCCCAAGTACTTCTATTCTGGAGCCGACCTGCCTATAAGCATGTGACAGGAGGTTTCGCGCAACGTAGGGTACGTTGTTTCGAGCTGCCTACGATAGGGATCCTCGTAGTCTGGGTCTCCTATAGTAGAGGATCTCATATAAGACCCCTTCTACTTGCAGGAACCGTGAAGCGGGAGAAGGGGGTTTTAGTTTGCCGCGGGGGCACCTCGAGCCCGGACCCGAAACCTTCAGCCCCCCACCCCCAAATCCTCCTGCAACGAAAACAAGGAACCACACACACACACACACACACACACACACACACACACACACACACACACACACACACACACACACACACACACAGACACACGCACACACACAAAAAAAAAGGAAAGAAAATAAAACGCTTGCAGCCCCTAAACCCTACATTAAATGCCCTAAACCCTCTAAACCCTCTAAACCCCAAAACCCCTGAACCCTAAACCCTATGAAGCCCTGTATCCTCCCAAGGGCCTGGGGTGCTCCAGAATATGGAGGCGACGTTGGGAAGCAGCTCCCAAAGGCCGCTATTCCCCAGAATTCAGGGAGGATCTAGAAATTAGATCGCTAATTTAGGGCCCTATACTTACTTGATAGGAGCCCCTCTTAAGTCTAGGCGGCCCAAAGCCATTCCCCCAAATGAGGGTGCTGATTCATCTTTGGGTGCCGCCTGAAGGTCTTGGTGTTGGCCACCTTCCACTTCGTAGTTGCTTTAACTTAGGCTTGAGATTTGACGTTGAGGCGAGTTTTACCCTGCTGATGAACTAGATGCTGCGACAGTAATCGAAGTCGCTTGAAAGGAACATTTCGCTCGGATACTCAATGGTCAGTTTCACCCTACTGATCAACTAGATGTTGCGACAGACTCAAAGTCGGTACGAGAGGAACACTTCGTTCAGATACTCCGCGATGGTGTCCTTAGAGGGCTTGCCGCGATGGTTCCGAAGGATGATCCGCGACAATGAAATTGCCCCTGGACGATGCAAGCTGACTACATGTCAGCACGGTGCCTGAACCGCCCTTTCGACGTGCTTCAGATGCATAGTTAGAGGGGCCATGTGGGCCTGGCCTCCCATGACGGCCTTGGTCGCGGTTTCAGCGCTAGGCTACCCAGGCAGCACGCTGGCGTGTGTGAGGTAGCACGCTGGGCTGTGAGGTAGCACGCTGGCTGGTGAGGTGGCACGCAGGTCGGGTAATGGTTGGGGCTATAGGGCACCACTGCGGGCTAGGCTCGGACCTGTGAGCTCTCGGATGCTCTGCGATCCACGTCTCCTCCGCCATTGCCTTTCGGGGCGACAGTCCTTCCACCTCGTCGTTGCGTTGCGGACTCAAGCCGTCACCTCCGCGCCGAGTCGGCACGTAAAAGTGAAGCAGCACGTTCCATTCCGGGAATGCAGTAACGTCAGGGCGGAAGATTAGTGTAAGAGTAAAAGTCCGTTTAGGGGTTTAGTGTGCAGCCGTCAGTGCCACCTCGATTTTGGGTTCCGCCTCGAGGTTACAGCGTCCGTCACCAACTTACCCTGAGCGTTGAGGCTGCACGCAGCGACTGTCGAATGGTTGAGGCAGCAAGCTCTTGCTCCCCGAATGCTCGAGGCAGCACGCTCCTGCTCCCCGAGTGGTTCAGGCAGCACGCAGTCGTCCGCAAAACTGCCCGGAACCCCGCTCCCCTTTCTATTTTCTCTTTACGAGCACCTCCCCAAAAACAGGCCCACCAAATCCCAACCCCGACCCCAGAGCCCAGGGCCCTTGTTCGTGCTTCTGAGGGATCAGAACGCCCAAGGCGTCACGGCAGCCAAATGCCCACTGCCACTACATCTCAAGCACGTCGAAAGGGCGGTTCAGGCACCGTGCTGACATGTAGTCAGCTTGCATCGTCCAGGGGCAATGTCACTGTCGCGGATCATCCTTCGGAACCATCGCGGCAAGCCCTCTAAGGACACCATCGCGGAGTATCTGAACGAAGTGTTCCTCTCGTACCGACTTTGAGTCTGTCGCAACATCTAGTTGATCAGTAGGGTGAAACTGACCATTGAGTATCCGAGCGAAATGTTCCTTTCAAGCGACTTCGATTACTGTCGCAGCATCTAGTTCATCAGCAGGGTAAAACTCGCCTCAACGTCAAATCTCAAGCCTAAGTTAAAGCAACTACGAAGTGGAAGGTGGCCAACACCAAGACCTTCAGGCGGCACCCAAAGATGAATCAGCACCCTCATTTGGGGGAATGGCTTTGGGCCGCCTAGATTAAGGGATCTACTTTTTGGATCCTCCCGGGGGTCTGGGTTTTGGGGGGTTCGAGGCTTGAGGGTTTTAGGGCTTTAGGGCTTTAGGGTTTTAAGGTTTTAGGGCTTGAGGGTTTAGGGTTTAAAGCTTCGGGTTTAGGGGTTTAAGGTTGAGGGCTTGAGGGTTTTAGGTTGGGTACGGCCCCCACTCAGTGATAGTTGAGTAACAGAATAACATTCATAATATAGGTATATTAGGACCTTAATAGTAGCCCATTATCGACTCTTACTGTATGGGGGCAGTACCTAAGTTTTGGGGCTTTATGGTTTGAGGGTTTTAGGGTTTAGGGTTTAAAGCTTCGTCGGGTTTAGGGGTTTAGGGTTTGGGATTTCAGGGTTTTGGGGTTCATGGTGGAGGGTTGTGTTTTGTCTACTTGGTTGGGTGAGTTGCGGGCTGTTGGGTGTGGATTTAGCTAACAAGCCCATGAAGCCCTTAAACCCTAAACCCTAAACCCTAAACCCTAAACCCCTAAACCTTAAACCGCGAAGACCTAAACCCCCAAATCTTCAGCACAAAGCGCCCTAAATCTGAGACCCCCCCAGGCTTCAAGCCCTAAATTCGCCTGAACTCCTAGACCCTATAAAGCCCTGCCTTGAATCATCGAATCCTCCACCCAGACCTTCCAAAACCCCTTAATTAAGGAATATACCTGAAATTATAGTAGGATCCTTAATATGATTTAAGGTATATTCCTTAATTAAGGGATTTTGGAAGGTCTGGGCAAGAAGCCCGTAAAGCAAAAGCTCAACTCTTAAGTCCTAAGCGCGAGAAAACATTGCCAGGTGCTTGACCTGGAGTCCACACAGCGGGCTTTTGCGGCACTCTGCGAGGCTTTTCGGGTGGAGGGTCTGGGGTTCAGAGTTTACATCGCTGAAACCAAAAACAAACTTGAACTGTCAAATACTTATCAAACACGAAGCCGCAGAACTCTACCTGCACTATCCTGTGCAGGTTTTTGAGGGGCGGATCCATGTGGATCCCTGCTATACTCTGAAGCCCGATGGGAATATGGGAATGTTAAACGCAACAGAATACTACTGTCGCTACAGGGGCCTTAGATCCCCATATAGTTGGCCCTATAAAACCCATTAAAGGCCACCCATACAGAAGCCTTAAGACTTTGGCGAAAACTGTTTCGTGAGCATGTGGGGCTTTCTCGAAACCATCTAGCACTTATTAGTATAAAAGCCTTCGAAAGTTGTATACCACCTACCCAAGGGGTCCAAGTAATGCTATGGTATATGCTTTTGGGGCCCAAATACCTACTAAGTACCTACTATAATGGTACTTGGACCCTCTGGGATACAGAAAGCTTCGGGGAACGCTCAAAGAGCCGAAAAGCCCAAAATAACATTACCCAGAACCCTTTGAACCCTTAAAGAACCGGTAATCTGAATTCCTTCCGGAACTTTTTCGAACTTTTATACGGAATTCTCTAAACCCCAAACCCGAAACCCCTAATCCCTGAACCGCTAAACCCTAAACCCGCAATCCCCGAAACCTAAAACCCCTAAACCTAAAACCCCTAAACCCTTATCCCTTAACCCCAGACCCCAGACCCCTAAACCCTTAAAGCAAATTGCCCCACGATTTCTTTGCTTCGGTGGCTTTGGAGGACCGGACGGTGGTCACCTGGGGAGCTGCAGACTTCGGCAACTCGGCTGGCAGCGGGCTCCTTTAAAGGGTGGCTCTACAAAAAACCTTCCCAGGCCCCCGGGAGGATCTAGAAAGTAGATCCCCCAATTTGGGGCCCTATACTACCAAGGGTACTTTATAGGAACCCCAATTCAGGGATCTACTTTTTGGATCCTCCCGGGGGTCTGGGTCTAAGGTGCCACTAGTGGCGGTTGCGGTCAGTTAGAATCTCACGGCTGCGAGGACAATTCCTCGTATGCAGAAAAGGAAAAACATGCTGTCATTGGACCAAGTGGACTTCTCAAACCCTAAACCCTAACCCTAGACCCTAAACCGTGTGACTTCTCCACACAAATACGGTGCCACTAGGGTCTGGGGTAGCTGCTGAGGGTTCTTTAAGGGGTTACAGGGTCCAGGGTCACTGGTCGGAGATCCTCGAGCTCTTCAGGCTAGCCTCTCCACTTTCGGTTCAGGGTTTTTGCAAGTTTAGGTTTGGGAGTTTCGGGTCTAGGACATATGGCCTTAAGGCTTATGGTTCATCGTCTAGGGTCTACGGTTTGGGCTCTCTAGAGCTGTATGGTTTTCATGGTATGTTGTAAAGCACTGTAGGGTTAGGTAGAGCAGCTTTAAGGCGCTGAGTAGGGATTTCGAGTTTAGGGTTTAGGGAGTTTATGTAGGTTTAGGGTGGTTTAGGGTCTTCTTTTAAGGATTTTGTTGCTAGGACTACTACTGATTACTGCGCTGCTGCGCTGCTACTACTACTGCTGCTGCTATTGCGTAGCGCTGCTACAACTTCTGCGGCCACTCACTGCTACTACCAATACTGCCAGTACCAAATAAACTCAGTAGCACCGCTATCACTGGTAGCACCCACTTCCAGTACTACCACGATTAATAACGATTACTACGCTGACTAACGAGCAGTTTCCGGCGAACTTCACTCCCAGACCCTACCCATAGGCTCCACAGTAGTTCCTCTTGTGGATTACCTTTAGGATGCTAGTTATGAACCACAAAGAGGGACTACCGTAGTCTGCGAGGAAGCCTGAACGCAGTCCTCCCAAAGCCTTGGCAGCCCCAAAACCGCAAGCCCCAAGCTCCTCCCCTGAATGCTGTACTCTACACCTTAAACCTAGGGTTTAGGGTTTAGGGTCTTAGCCCTACCAAACCCTAAACCGTAAACTTTAAGACCTGCTGAACCCTACTTGTATCCCCAAACCCTACAAAATGGTAGGCTAGGGCCCCTTAGTTAGAGGGCCGAACCCTTCAAACGGTGGGTTTTCGGATCCCAAGGTATACTCTACTAAACCCTAAGCAGTAGGATCCTTATAATAGGACCCCAAAATCAAGTACCCCTAATTTCGGAAACTCCCTTATGTTGAATCGTTACAAAGCCATCACAAAAGCCCAGAAAATCCGGAGCCAAAGCCAAAACCCTAAACCCTAAACCCTAAGACCTGCTGCACCCTGTACTCTACTAAACCCTGTAAGCCCCCCCCAGACGGAGCTCAGGTGGAGACTGCAGCAGCAGCTCTGCCTACGAGTCAGTGTTTACAGGGGGAAGGGCCTTGGGGTTCGATGCAAGGGACTACAGAATTCGATCATGTTGTTCATTGCTTTGGGTAGTGTTTACAGGGGAGGTGCCTTGAGTTTTGACGCAAGGGGCTACAGAATTCGATCATGTCTTTCACTGTTTTGGGTTGAGGGTTAAGTGTTTAGGATCTAGTCTAGGGGGCATAATTAGACCATATTCCTTGAGCTTAGCGTAGGACAAAGCAGCATCAACAGAAACTTCAAGACATCCGAGTGGTGTCGTGTTTTCTGTCCAAGAGTAAAAGGCGGGACCCTTAATAAGGACCTCTAGGTAAATACCCTTAGTATAGCCATTATATACCCATTATAGCGCCCATTATAGGGTAGAGGTCCCCATTAAGGGTCCCTCCTTTTCCCCTTTGATCAACGGAACCCTAAACCCTAAACCCCTAAAAACCCCCTTAAAGGAACCCTAAAGATCCCTTATAGGAACCCGTAAGGGTCCCCATGAAGGGTCCCTCCTTTTCCCCTCTGAGAGTCGGGATTTGGGTTCGTCTTCGGACAGGGGCTGGGGCCTCGGAGCTTTCTATTGTCCGAAAACCGGCAAGCCCAGACCTTCCAAATCCCCTTAATTAAGGAATATACCTAGGGCTCCTTTAAGGGATCTATGAGGGATCTATAGGGTTTAGGGGAGTCTAATACCCCTTGATTAAGGAATATACCTTAAATTATAGTAGGATCCTTAATATGATTTAAGGTCTATTCCTTAATTAAGGGATTTTGGAAGGTCTGGGAGGCTAGCAACCCTTGCTATCGTTCTTGCCCAAAGGGTCCTATGTACCGATATAGTGGACTGTAGATTTTCCCGATTAGGAATTACGAATATGACTTAGGGAAGTATCCCCCATAACAGTACAAACGACCCTTTGGGTGGCTGTTGTTGCTAGTGATGCCCAGACCTTCCAAAATCCCTTAATTAAGGAATATACCATAAATCATATTTATAAGGATCCCACTATAATTTAAGGTATATTCCTTAGTTAAGGGGTTTTGGAAGGTCTGGGTGTTGGTGTTACCACTGCTTTCCCCTGAGTGGTAACTACGTAGACCCGCGATGATCTGTGTGCTGGGGGCTCCTTGTGGTGAGGCCTTTTTCAGCAGAGGAGCTTTTTACTCGGATATCTTTTCGAGGATGCCCAGTAGTACCCTTATTCCCTTTTTGTAGTCCTAGGTTCCTTATAAAGTTACCCAATACCAAAAAGAGAGGCCTCTTTATTCTTAGGTTACTGGGTATCCTAGTTTTTTTATTCAGTAAGAAGTTCAACCCCCACACCCGGCCCTGAACCATAGACCCCTAAAGCCTTACCTATCGTCTCCATTGTAGCTCCTGTTTTGGGTTACCTCACAGAATCAAACCCAAAAAGGGAACCACACTGGAGACTATAGGTACACGCCTGAACGATGCACTGCCTCGGCCCAAACAGCTTCAGGCGTTAAAGAGCAGCTGTGCGGCGTGAGGCGATTGCAATCAACGTCGCTCAGCTGGCACGGCAGGACAAAGTAGGATACTGTGTACCTACATGACATAGCCGGGACGGCGCTTCTTCAACAAATCCGAAATTGCTACAATTGTTTCTGTAAGTATTCCACATGAATGTACCTCGAGTCCTTGTTGCAGCCCGGAACCTCCGAGATCCATGTCAATTCATTTTCGACAAGCTCGTGAGGCTTAGACCGTCAGTCAGAAGTTTTGGGCTGAAGGTTTAGGGTTCAAAGTAAAACCCCAAAACCCTGAACCCTAAGCCGTAAATTTAGGGGTTTAAGCCGGCTGGCGAATATTCACGCCATGTACCTGGCAGGTGGGAGGCTCCAAGCTTCGTGGGTGTATGGAACACCTTGACCTCGCAAGTTGCCATGTTGACAGTTTTGGTCTTTGAGGTTTAGGGTTTAGGACTCTGAAGTTAAGTAAAAATCCTTATGTTAATTTCATGTTTATTGTCAGGCCCCACATACGGCTTCTCAGCACTACTTGTTCATTGTACCGATGGTAGCAATTGGGTGTGGTAGTGCCAATCTTGCTTCAATCCCCTAAACCGTAAACCCTAAACCCCATTGATTCAAGGCAGCGTGCCTTCGCCGCTCTATGCGCCGATGGCCGTGTGGTTGCCTGGGGCAATGTGCACTCGATGAAATTGGCCCGGCCTAGAAAAAGCAGCTGTGGCCCAGGGGTTCAGGGAACAGGATTTCTTGTTTATTCTGCAGTTTAGGCCTCGGGTTTGGCCTGCAGGGTCTTGGGCGGTTTGAGGCAGACAGTGTTCGGGATCACAGTAGTGAGACGGTGCTTGGATACTTGAGTTCCCCTTGATGCAGTTGAGCCAGCAGCCGGGGATATAGGTTGGGCTTTCGGTTTAGGGTTTGGTTCGTGTTCTCTTTGCTATGTTTTTTGTTTTTGTGTATGTTTACTTGCTGTTTGGGTACTCCACGTGTACCTTTATATGTTTCTTCTCAGTGAACTTCTCAGGCCTCTGGATATCTCGATGCCTGACGCTAAACTGGGCCAGCAAAGCTCGAAACACACTCAAAGCCATGCGATATGCAATTATGCAGGAACCGCAACTACCCATCTACAGTAGTTCCTTTTTGGGATTGCCTTTTAGGATTCTAAATCTGAACCTCAAAAAGGAACTGCTTTGGAGCCCCTAGGTATTTGTAGCATGATTTCCGCACATCTCCGTAATCCGCAGCACAGCCTGCAGCACTCCAGGATGGGAATAGACTTCCAAAGGTTATCCCTATGGTTCCCATAGGATATTGGAAACCTTAAAACCCCTAAACCCTAAAACCCCTAAACCTTAAACCCAAAAACTTAAGCCCTAAAACCCTATAGCGCCTAAGCCCTAAACCCAAAAACTTAAACCCTAGCCCTAGACCTCAAAGCCAGTTTTTCTACTGCGCTTAGGAGGCTTATGGAGGCGACGCGCGCGCAGTGCAGGACGAGCTGGAGAAGGTGGGGACGTGGGCGGCGAGTGCTTCAAAGGACTTCGGGCTCCCTTAAGGTTTAGGGTTTAGGGGTTTAAGGTTAGGGTTTAGGGGATGAGGGTTTGGGGTTTAGGGTTGGGGGATTAGGGGTTTAAGGTTTAGGGGTTAAGGAGCCCCTATGGTCCTGAATAGTGGTTATTTGGGGCACAAGAGAGATGGAGGGTAGTTGTGGGGTGTAGCTACTTCCATAGACGAAACACTCATTGGTCATTGCCCTAAACCATAATCAAATCCCTAAGCCACTGTGAAGGGGAGCTACTTGCACAGCCTCAACTTTAGTTCTCATGACCTGAAGGCTTAAAGCCCGATCTCAGAAAAAGTTTATTTGAGCGCCTTGAGCCTAAGCCCTTACAAGCCTTCAGCCCTAAGCTTCACAAGCCCTATAAACCCTAAACCCTCCTGAACCCTAAACCGTACCCATGGGCTCCATAGTAGTTCCTTTTTGGGGTTAATTTTTCAGAATCCTATAAGGTAACCCCCAAAAGGAACTACTTCGGAGCCTCTGGGTAAACCCTAAACCCTAGACCCTAAACCCTAAACCCTAGACCCCTAAACCCTAAACCCTGCTGAACCCTGCTGAACCCTGAAGTTAAGCCCTCCATGCGCCCTGGCGCAGCTTGCAGGTGAAGCGAGTTGAGGCCAACGCTGGGGCGCCGCCCGGCCATAAGCCCTAACGTAGGGTTTCGGGGTTCTGCTATAGGAGCCTTAATAATTACCTATACTATGTTTTTTCTTTTTTTATATTTGTAGTATAATAGGCCCCAAAACCCTATTCTAATTATTAAGGCCCCTATATTAATGTAGGGTTTCGGGGATCTACAGGGTTTAGAGTTTCGGGGGTCTTGCTATTTGAGGTTCTCCAAGAAGTTAGAGCAACGATTATCTGAATCTCTCACACAGGAGCCTGAAGAAGTAGTGGTACAATTCCTGCAAGGTTCTCAAGCTTGTTTATAGTTTACAGGTCCCCAACAGTTTACCCAACGGGTCCTAGGTATGCCGAGACTACCAGCACCTGCGCGCCTATCAAAGCAGACTGCAATAAGCCTGTGCAGCAACCAGCAACAGCCAGTCAAGCTTCCATGACCCACAGCCCCGTTTTTGAGCTTTACAGACCATACAGTTGATGATATAAATCCTGCATTACCTTAAGGAGGAATCATGGTATAGTCCTTTTTATGGGTAATGCAGGGTTTATATCATCAACCGTAGCAATACTGCAGGCCTTTCAGAAAGTGCCACGGCCGACTAAACCTGATTGAACATCGTTGTAGCGGCCGGGAGGTTTCCAAACTATGCACGGCCTTATGTGGGAGTTTCCCTTTAAATTAGGGGTACCTTATTTTGGGGTCCTTATAACAAGGAATTTAGAGGGTCCCATATTTTTGGAAACTCCCATGTGCACCTACAACGACTCCCAAGACCCCTCAACACCCCACGCGACATGTCGAAACACAAATGTTCAATATCTAATCCTTTTTACAACCACAGACATCCTCAAAGCGATAAGGAGGATCAACCGAGCCCTCAGGAACCATATGCCCAAATAGCATATACTTCTGTTGCTCTGGAGTACCTGTATCATCTACTTCAAAGAAACGTGGATCCTTCCGAACATGATAAGGCAATAAAGACCTGTACCTATATCAGGATAAGTTATATACCTGGATGCTCAGGGACATGAGCTAAACCGCGCTGGATAAGCCCTAAACCCTAAACCCTGCATCCCAAACCCTAAAACGGCCCCTAAACCCTAAAGCCTAAACCCCTAAACCAACCCTAAAGCCTAAAGGCCAAAGGCCCACAAGGCCCAAAAGGCCCAAAATCCTACGAACCACGAGAAAAGCTGCAACTTCAGCGGAGGTTCGCCGCGCTGCGCACGAATGGCACCGTGGTGACCTGGGGCCGACGCAGCTGCGCCCTGGGGGCAGCTTCCGTTGCTTCGATTTTTTCGGGTTTAAGGGTGTTTGTACGGTTTGTATGCGGGTGATACGAGGTCCTGAAGTAAGGTTTAGGGCTTAGGGTATTCAGGCTTTGTGGTGTGTGTGTGTGTGTGTGTTTTTGTTGTTTTGATTCTGTTTCAGTTTGTTGAAGTTCTAGTTAATGTCCTTGATGTTTTGGGATCTTGCATCGTGTGTCACATAGCTATCTTATGGAGCCCTCTGCAGTAGAGCTCCCATTTTATAGGCGTCCTATACATGTGGCTTTAGCGTGTGAACTAGACTCTAGACTTCGGGCTCGGGATCACATGTACAAGGCGACATACTTAGGCTCGGATTTCATTTGAGATCCTTCCACTCTGCGTTTTTGTGCAGTTCAAACGTTTGCTGAGATGGCGGAGACTGCGGCGACATCCGACAGCCTCTTGCCGAACATCGTTGGTTAGAGGTTCTCGGCTCAGGGTACAGAGCCTTGGGTATTGCACTTCCGGTTTGAAGGGTTTAGAGGTGTTCAACCTGGTGCTTGTCTTCCACGACTAATGATGGAGGCCTCTTTTGCTTTATAGAGGTGAACCGTAAAATTCTTGCAGGAAGCCGATTGGAAAACAAAGGCTCTACGACATCGTCGAGATTTGCGCCGCCGACACTGCCTTTGCAGCCCTGTGCGCAGATGGGAGGGCACCTGGGCCAGGAAGTTTGGATTGAGGAGCTGCAGGGCTTTGCTTGTGGCTTCAGGGTTCCAGGTTTCTAGGATGTGCAAGAGCTGATTGTTTTGGTTTTGCTAGAGATTGTAAGGTGGCACAAGGCTTCATAAGAGGTGTTGAAGCATTTAGACAAGGGCCACCCTGAACCCCTAGGCCCTAAACCCTAAATCCCTAAGCCCCTAGGCCCTAAACCCCTAAACCCTAAACCCCTAGGCCCTAAACCCTGAATCCCTAAGCCCCTAGGCCCAAAACCCTAAACCCGGCCTAAACCCTAAACCCCTAGGCCTAAACCCGAAATCCAAAAACCCGAAATCCTAAGCCCCTAGGCTATAAAGAAGGGTTGGATTGGCGCCGGCCAGAAATCTTCGTGACACCGATATATCCGGAACCAGTGCTGGCTCCCTCGTTCCAAATCCGAAACCCCTAAACCCCAAACAGTAGACTTCAAGTTTTTCGGGGTGGTTGTAAAATCACGAAAAGCACAGAAAGCTTCACAACCCTACACCCCCAAAGCCCTTAAACCCCCAAACCCCAAACCATGCAATTTTAAACCGAAGAAACCCCAAAGCCTTCAGGTGGTGGCCTGGGGAGAGTCCACGGAAGGGGGAAACTGTCGACCCGTGACTCGGCCGGCCATGCTTTCAAGGAGTTGTCTGAGGCCCTTACGCAGCAGAGTCCTGCCTGCTTGTAAGGACCCTTTAAGGGTTTAGGGTTTAGAGTACCCTCACAAATGAGAAAGCTTCATCTTGCTGCAGGTCAAGCACGAGCTTCGCCAGGCGCGGCATGCGGAGTCGATATGCTCAAGGAACCTAACACCCCAAGTAATCAAGGAAGATCGGTGAACTTCTTCAAGAATCGTATAAGGTCATCTAGCGTACTTAACAATTCCAGGTAAAGACAGAGGTAATTTAGCCGCTCGCTGTGAAAACCCTGAACACTAAACCCTAAATCCTGAACTATGCTGTCTATGGGCATGCAGGACCATGGTTTGATCGACTGAAGGCTTTTCGGTATGGTTTCCTGGAACCCGCCTCCTTGGCAGTTCATGATTTGGGGTTTCCGAAAATAGGGGGCCCTAATATCCGACCTTAAGTAGTAGGATCCTTAGTATAATGATCCCAGAATACGGCATCCCTAATTTTTGGAAACTCCCATATACGTTTTGCAAGATTGGGATTCGGTGGTCGTGGCAATCGATGTATCCCTCGAAACACTTCCCCCATTCATTCCTAGATCCCATGCAATACAGCCCCAAGGGTCCAAAGTACCTATATGCTGAAACGGAACGGTATCGCGGTGAGGTGTGGCACCTCGCCGCCACGGGTTCTGCCTTTGCCGCGTTGAGAGCCGACGGCCGTGTCGTGCTTCGGGCTGCAGACTGCCATTTAGGGACCCCAAAAGCACATAAGCAGAAGCATTTTATGGGCATATCCCTACGTTATTGGGCTTCATTATAAGGGGGCTTATATGGGACATCCCTATCCTAATTTTTGCTTGTGTGCTTTTTGGGGCCCGGGCCATGTTCGAGGGCATCACCAGAGTTTTGGAGTGTTTGGTCTGAAGGATTGTAGGGGCCTGTTAGCGAACAGGGTAATTAATTGCAATTCAGGCGTTCGTGAAGACTTGCCATTGGTTAGTAGGGAATGGAAGAATGGTAGTAATAGTAGTTATAATTGTACCCCCATTTCTCCATTCCCTACTAACCAAAGGTAAGTTAAGTTATAGGATTATGAAGGCCCCTATATTATAGTACCCTTATAGATCCCTTATAGTAACCCTTATATCCGATGTAGTAGAATGTAGGGTTTCAATATTAGGAATTGCTAACATGACTTAGGGAAGTATCCCCCATAACAGTACAAAGGACCCTTTGGGAAGGTAAGAAGAGGATTTGTGGCGCAAGCGCGAAGCTTCGGCGGTGTTTTGAGTGCTTGGGCTCAGGGCTTCTGTTGAAATCAGGCTTCAAGCTTCTCCCACCGGTTTAGGGTATACCTTAACCCTGAAGAACCCACCTTTTTGGGGTTCCCTACTATGGTTTCCTTATAGGAGTCCTTAAAACGGTAGGTTATTTAGGGTTAAGAATATAGGGTTTAGGGGGCAGCTTGGACCCCCCAAAACGGACCCCTACAGATCCCTTAAAGGGACACCCCCAAGAGCCCCTTTGAAGGGACCCGTACCTTAAGTTGTCAGGGCTTGCCTGGGTTGTGCTTTGGGATAATTTTTGATTTCCCTTATTTCCTTATAAAGGGAACCTAAACCCTAAACCCTATTCATAAATAATTTTCAAAGGGTTTAAAGCACAACCCAGTTGCATGAAAAGGAGAGCCAGGCCCACGCAGGCAGTCCCGAATCCTTTGCACGTCTTTCCACCGACTCCAATCCCCCTTTACCTTAAGGACGAAATGAACCCTAAAAGGGTTTAAGGTTCATATACCATATAGGGACTCATAGTATATGGGTATAGGGCCCCTACTTTTAAGGGTCATTTGGTCCTTCAGGTAGTCCAGTGCACTTTTCAGGACCCGACGTACTTACGGGCTTCCTCTGAGGGTTCCTTCAATGAGTGTAATCACCGCTTGTTTAAAGTCCTTCAGGTTTTCCCATAGGGTTTTCGGTTGACATATACCGAAAATAGGATATGTACACAGATTCCGTCTCTCAGGCCAAAGTGTGTACTTATCATTTGGGTACACAGACCCTTAGGCTAGTATAGCTCGTTGAAAGTATTTGTGTTGTTCAGGGCATTGGCGGTTCTACATCCCTGAGCTAAACCGACAAACCCCGATCAAATCGATCCGGGCATGTTCAAGAGTGGTTGAGTGGGTTGTAGCATACATCCCTGAACCCTACCCTACCACTTCAACCCTAAGCCCTAACTTAAACCCCTAAACCCTAAACGTAAACCCGAAACCCTCAGCCCGAATTAAGCCGGTTCGTTGCTTGTGGTTTTGCGGTTTCAGGCCTCGAGTCAGTGCTGCAGCACTCAGGTGACCTGGGGGCACAAGCAGTTTGGTGGGGACAGCACACACGTGCAAGAGCAGCTTCGTGATGCACCCTGGTACCGTTTAAAGTTTAGAGAGTTCAGGGGTTCGGGGTTTAGGGGATCCTGGTAGTTGTAGGAACCTTTTAATCACAAGTTCATTCTAAGTGGAGGTTCAGGATTCTTGCAGCCTGATTACAACAGGCACTTACAACCCAACTAGAAGCCCCCGAAGTGCAACGAGTCTAGGATATACTTGGTTTTCACAGAAACAACAAACATGGATAGGTTATAGGCAACCCGAACACATGCAGTGTGCAAGCACAACATGAGCTGCCAAGTGAATCCAATAGTGGATTGTAGGAGCTATACTAAATATCGGCCGGGGGGGTTCCGAAAGTGCACTTTGAAGGTGCAAAGAAGCCGAAACCCAAGTTTCGGGCTTCTGGTGTCGGCAAAGGGGGCTCCCATCATTCGTGTGTGAGTGTTGCATATCCGCACACTATATAAACCTTCAGGACTAACAAAGACGTCTATCCATCTGGTGGCACCATTCTGTCGGAAGGCCAAGACCCTTGCAGGGCCAATCCTCAAACCCCTAAACCCAAAGCCCTATCCCTAAACCGCGATCCCAGGTCAAGAGGATTACAGCCAGCAAAGGCCCCGACTTCGGAAAGTTGCGGTTTAGGGTTTAGGGGCTTTGGGTTTAGGGTTTAGGGCTTAGGCTCTGGGGGTTAGGGCTTTAGTGGTTGGGTTTTAGGGCTTAGGGTGTTGCATGTCTTTTGCTTGGGGTCACCTCAACTGGTCTTCCCAAAACCTATGTCGGCCAGGATGCAGATTATTGGGAGTTTGAGGTGTATGCTGCATTGACACGGCTGAGGGCCTTGCCTTCCAGGGTCATGATTGAGTGTCGCAAGCCGCGTGAGGGATGTCTGTCAGGTATGAAACACTCCCCTATAGGTCCCCCCCTAGAAAGCCCTAGAATGAAGGATTCCTTCATCCTGCCCGAAGGGCAACCGATCGCCTCTGACGTTAACGGATCCGAAACCATGCTTTTGTTATTGTGTTTTTGTAATGCTATGGTTTCTTAAGTAAGGTCCTTCCAGCTCAATGGGTCCAGCGGCAAGGTTTTTGTGAATGTCGAAGCAGGAGATATAAGATTTCCGGACTGGAAGTATTCTGACTGTTTCTGTATGTTTCCCCCATAGACGGCTACTTACATGAGGCCCATGCAACCCTTCCCCTGTAAATCCAGGATGCTCTGTAATTCCCATCACCCTACGCACGCAACTGGAATTTTATGGCCAGGTTAAGGGTTTTGGATTTTCAGTTGAGTTGCAAACTTGTTAACATCCCGGCCCTGGACACAACCTCCCTGAGAGCGACCACTGTGGCTGTCTGCTTTCCAACCGGACGACCAAGCTTTAAATCCCACCTATAGTCTCCATTGTAGTTCCTTTTTCTGGTTTAACAAATTCTATTTATATTAAGGATCCTAAGGTAACCCCAAAATATATTAAGGATCCTAAACGGTAACCCCAAAATATATTGAGGAACAGGATCCTAAAAGGTAACCCCCAAAAAGGAACTACAATGTAGACTATAGGCATGACTTGGAGCCGAAGGCGAGATGGCAACCTCGGTGGCTCCCTAGACTCTCTGGATATGGGAGTTTCCGACTTTGGGAGTTTCCGAATATAGGGGTACCTTAGCTGGGGGTCCTTATAATAAGGATCCTACTATTTAAGGTACTACAGTAGGGTCCCCTAGCTGATATGGGAGTTTCCGAATATAGGGGGGGGCGCTAAAAAAATACCCTAAATAGTAGGATCCTTATTGTAAGGACCCCTAAGTAAGGTACCCCTATTTTCGGAAACTCCCATATGCCTGGGTTGCATTGTGAGCACAAGCAAATCCTGGCTAACAGACACGAAACCGCAACCGCCGACAGTAAACCTCAAGCCGTATAATATCCTAAAACCTATCTCAAGCGGTCCAAGTAGTGGTATAGTGTATACTTTCTGGGCCCAAATACCTACTAAGTACCTACCATAATGGTACTTGGACCCTTTGGGTATCTCAAGCCTCAAAGCGCAGGCGCCTTCGCCGCTCTTTGCGCGGGCGGACGCGTCGTGACCTGGGGCGACGAAGGCCACGGAGGACAGTCGGACGAGGCCTTTTCAGAGTTCTGGGTTTAGGGTTAGGGTTCTCGGGTCTACTTGTAGCCAAAAAACCCTGCCTGTTTTCAGGGTCCCTTACTGTGCTTTCCATATAATTCTTAACACAATTAAGGGTCCCCGGTCCAAACATGGAAGCAGAGACTGCAACACGGTTTAAGAGAGGATCAGTCAAAAGGGCTTCTTGGACAGCAATTCAGCCGGGTCTTGCAGGGTGTGTTTCAAGGTTTTGAGGAGGGTGTACAGGGTTTCATCATGCTTTACAGGAGGAGTCAAAACACTTGGACGCTTCTTCGGATGTGTATCATTGTAGTATAGGTTATAAGGGCCTTGTGGAGGATCGAGGACTCGTACTAAAGTCTGCGGACCCATCTTACTCTGTGATTTACTGAGTTCGGAGCCAGGATGCTACAGTAAGCTCGAAGTCAGCAAGCAACCAATGTAACCGAGACCTTGCGATGCGAGGTGACACATGATTATTCTTTGGAGGGTGCTCCCGCATTTGCGAGGTCCAGCGAGAGCTCCGGGATGTCCAAAAGATATATGCAACAACTGCCGCTTGGTGAAGTTCAGTGCGCTGCTGCATTGGTGCAGTGGTGCAGTTCCACCGTAATCTGCCATGAGCTGCTGCTCATTGTCCTGGGCACCTATAAGTTAGATTCTGTACTCGATCTATTTTCGGCTGTATGGCAGCTTGTCGTCAGCTTGCTATCAGGTTTACGATTTGCATATCGGGAGCGTAGACGAATAATGCGGTTAAGGGTTGAAGGTTACAAAATTTACTCAGGATCCTCTGGCGGGGAACTGTAGTAGACATCCTTCTGCATGCGCCATCCCAGAGTGCCCTGTGTGGTTCCTGAGCTCCTACCTGGACCCCAAAGTATGTAGAATAATGGCATTTATAGGCTTTGGGCCATTATTTTACATACTTTTGGGGGTTTAGGTAACCTCCTATAGGCTTTGGGCCATTACTTTACATACTTTTGGGGGTCTAGGTAACCCCCACCCTTCAGCTCTTTACCAGAGGAAGACCTTGGAACAAAGAAGCCGAAGCCTTGATCTCTTTGCCAACTATGTACCGATATAGTAGAATGTAGGGTTTCCATATTAGGAATTACGAATATGACTTAGGGAAGTATCCCCCATAACAGTACAAAAGACCGGTTGGGTTCTGAAGCCGAAACCCCGAAACCCTCAACCCGAAACCTCGCAAAACTGCGAAGAGATGGACAGGCTTCCTTCGGCGCAATGTGTGAAGGCGGGCGCGTCGTGACGTGGCCTCGCGCCCAAGACCCTGCGGCGGCCCGCATCCGAGTTTAAGACGGTTATTCTCATATGCAGAAGAGGGTTCTGCGATTTACGAACTGTGCTTTACGAGCCAAGGTTTAAAGGTCATCGGTTTTGAGCTTAGAGCCTTAATTGGTATCAATGCTTAGAGATTTAGATTACCTGGACGTGCACAGCCGAGAAGCCCAGCAACCTGTGCAATGGGATACTGGATACTGGTTATGGCATTGAAAATTCGGTGTCATCATGCAAGGAACAGGAGCCGACTATGTAGGTAACTGGGCTTCCAGGCGCAGCTTTTAATGCGGACTGGTTCCGCCAATTGTTTAGACATTGCTTTAAGTTTTGCTAGCCGCGGTGGTTCTCAGGAGGACTTCTTTGATATGGGAGGTTCAAAAGGTACGGGCCCCAGCATGGACCCGCAATGGTAGGATCCTTCATACCCTAAGAACCCAAGCTAATACCTTAACACCTGTCCAAATACTATTCCAAAATGCGTTGTTACATCCTAAACCCAAGCACCTCCTCAGTAGGCACTGGGGACCCAGCCAGAAAGCACGTTACAAACTTCCTTGTGAATCCCTGGTGGCGCACTTACGTATGAGGTCCCTTGGATCTCAGGGATGTGATACGGTTGATGATATATACCCTGCATCACCCATATTAAGGATAATACGGGATATGCCATAATTCCCATAGTCTAGGGTCCTTAAGGTAATGCAGGATTTATATCATCAACCGTATCTAACCCCCGGACCTTTGGGTACTGAGCTGCCTCCGTAATGGAGGCTTCTTAATTACTAAGTCATTATTGGGATCCAAACGGCTTAGCGTCCTTATGTCACCTAAGGAGGGCCAATATCGGATTTTTCGCAGAGCACTCTCTAAGGATGCGAAAATGGGGTTCCCCTTTAAGGGTACTCTATAGACTACAGGTTTCTGAAACAGGGTTCCCTTCAAGGGTATTGAATCCCAGACCTTCCAAAACCCCTTAATTAAGGAATATACCTTAAATCATATTAAGGATCCTACTATAATTTAAGGTATATTCCTTAATTAAGAGGTTTTGGAAGGTCTGGGATCTTCTGCCTGGGATCTTCAACACGGACTTCTGAGAATGCGAAAAGACCCAAAGTCTCTCAGTAAGGAAGCTTCCAGGTCCTACCAAGGAGACGCGGGGGACCCTCGGAAAAATCTAGATAGGGGTTCCTTTGAAGTGATCCTTGAAGGGATCTATTGGGTTCCTTTACGGGGTTCCATTGTAGGGTAGATTTTTGGAGACCCTATAGATCTTAAGCCCTAAACCCTGCACCTACGCCGGCCTATAGGACACTTCGGGCAGTTTTTTTCCGAGAACCAGCGTGCATCAGACGTCTCTGTCCGGCACTTCCAGCTTCCCCTTTTCGATCAGGGAGCAAGGGTTTAATAGTGGCGATGTGGGAGTTTCCGAAAATAGGGACCCTAATACAGTACCCTAAGTAGCAGGATCCTTAGTATAAGGACCCCAAAATATGGTATCCCTAGTTTTCGGAAACTCCCATGTTGTTTATTTAAACCAGAGCTGGGGATGTTATGTAGGGTTTAGGGTTTAGGCCTTTAATTCAGGTTTTTGGGCAGGAGTCTCCCAAATCCTTGGCTCCCTTGGAATGTCGGAGCCTTTGGACAAACGCCTAAACCGTATACACCCTGGTACTCCTAGACCCCAAACCCTAACAAGGCCTAACTATCTATCTATCTATCTACCTATCTATATATATATATATATATATATATAGATCTACATATATATATATATATATATATATATGTCCCGGAAGTCCCTTATATAACCCCAAACCGCAATTATCGTAACCCCGAGCGCGTAAGAGTAATAACGAAATTAGTGGTGCTCTGCAATGGAAGAGGGAGAACTGGCCCGTCAGACTTGGGAAGAACTCGCAAGGCGGACTTCTTGCTGGCGGGGCCACTGCGAAGACAGACCCCCGCTGAAAAAGCGGATCTATTTTTTTGTTTCGAGATGTCTCGATATCAGGGCATTCCCATGGCTAGTTTTCAAGGGCTTAAGGCTTAAGTTGAGGAGGTCACGGGTAGTTATACGCATGCTGAAAAGATATACATACATATGGTTACCGGAGCCTAGCTGAATTTTCAGCCCCCGGCCGAGAAGCCCTTTAAAGATGTCTGGAGGGTTTGCCGCTGTTTATCTGTAGGTCTGTTATCAAACCTACTTTGGGGTTGGGGGGTGTCGGTGTGTCCAAGTACCTACGAGTCCACTGCTATCCTACATTACATACTAACCTACCTTTGTATGATCCCAACACCAGATCTCAGATACCAAGCCCTATAAACCTTAAAGCCTAATTCCTGAAGAACGCCTAAAGCCTAAACCCTGAAGAACGCCTGAGGTACTTTTGAGGCCGAGCTTAGCCCTGCAAAGCCTACCTCCCCGGACCCGAAACTCAAACGCATGACACCCTAAACTCCAGCCCTAAACCCTAGGCCCTAAACCCTAAGCCCTAAATCCTAAGCCCTAAACCTGCAACAGTAGGGCCGAAGTTTTCCATTATTCCAAGGGGAAAAGGAGGGACCCTTAATGGGGACCCCATACCCTATCATGGGGCTATAGAATGGGTATATCATAGTTATACTCAGGGTATATACCTACGGGTCCCCCTTTCCCCCCTTGGACTTTCGTTCCTTGAAGGAGCTCATGTCCCCTGCTGGGCCTACTTGGGGCCTGAAGAAATACGAAGGTAGAGTCTCCATTGTAGTTGCTTTTTTGGGTTACCTTATAGGATCCTAACTATATAAATGGTTCAACCAAAAAAAAGGAACTGGAGACTATAGGTATGCTGCAGGTTCCTTATGGCCTTCTTATAGTTATAGCAGAATGGGCCCCCAAGACCCTATTCTAATTACTAAGGCCCCCATATATTAGGGTTCCGGGTTTGGCATTCAGACACCTCGAAGGGTCGATCCAAGACTCCAGTTGAAGAAGCATCAGAGTTGAAAGTCTTTGCACTCCCTGAGGACCCAACAAAACACGATGCCCGACACATCTCCGTGAGAATAAAACCCTGAATGCTGAACGCTAAACCCTAAACCCTAAACCCTAAACCCTAAAACCTAAACTTTCCTTAACCCCGAGACGACAGACCCTAGTGCCTGAAATGCTTCTTTTGCTTTGAGGGCTCCTTTCTTAAAGCTGAATAACAGGAAAAAAGGGTACCCTGATTCTGCAAGGGAACGTAGGGTTCGTATCTTAAGAGCTACTCATAGTTTCTGAGGGTAAGAAGACCGACAGTAACACGTGTTGGCAGGCCGATCTCGTCGCTGCGTGCGCTTGGGCCCCGTTGCGTAGTAGATCTCCCTGGGGTGGCTTTGGGCCTTGCTTTTTTCAGGGTTTGCAGTGCTTGAAGGGCCTAAACCCTATAACCCTAAACCCCCAGGGTTGTGTTTGGCGACTTCTAGGTTGCTACTTTGGCTATTCTGGGTATGGTCACGGTGATCGTGTTTGGGTTTGGGGCTTATGTCTTCCTGTTGCTCGGTTGAGGGTTTAGTGTTTTGGGTTTGGGGGTTGGGTTTTAGCACTGGTGGTTTGTGAATTGGGATTTGGGTTTAAACTGTAACACGTGTGATTGTGAAGAGGGTTGAGAGCTTTTGGGTCCACCGGCTTTAACAAATGGCTCGAGGTGGGTGGCTCAGAGGTCCCAGCTCTGCTTCTCGGCTCCTACGGAATGTCCTCATATGTGCGGACAACAGTTCCGCCGTGCGTAGTGGATACTATCAACCGAGTGGCTTTATCCTTTACCGACAACCTACTGTAAGGGTTTGGGGTATTGCGACCCCTGATGTATACGTTTTTTTGATCTGAAGCAGGGTTAACCTCAAAGAAGGGGCTTTCTTTCTCCGGGCTTTTACATTACAGCTTCGAGGGCCTTCTATTCTCTGTGCCAACCGTATACACACTGATCAGTACACGAATTCGAAGCCTTGTCGAACTCTCATTGCGAACCTTATACAGCCTTATCAATCCCTAAAATTTCGAGAGCAGTTGCAAAGCCCCACCCCAAGAGTCCCACTACTTTGGAGACTCAACACTCTTCTGAGATCCCAAAAAGACAAACACTTTCCTGAGGAGATTCGGGTTCCTCCCAATGAGATACCTTGGACGCTTGAACCCAAACCCCTAAAGCCACGCACCTTCGGTTCTGAAGCCCTAAACCGCCAGTACATCAAAACCCTGTTATCAAACTCGGAGCACTCGTAGATCCCAAACCTGCACCCTAAACCTGCAACCCATCAATCTGAAAATCAAGATCCGACTGTGGAATATCACCCCAGGCAATCCTGGAAGAGCGTGGTGCAGATCTGGAGGACAGCCCGAAATCCCGAAATCTCGATGAACTTGGGTTTGTGGGCTTTGTAATTAGGGTTGATGCAGCTTCTTAGCTTGCAGACCACTGGTTCCTGCAGTAGGCTGCTTAGCTTGTAGACGAACTTCCATAAGGGTTACGAAGAGTATACAATGAAGTAGGGTGCATGTTACGGCACACGTCCATTTATGACACGTTTGCCCTAGAGGGGTTCCTAAACGAACGTGGGGTTTTGGTGTGTGTGCGTGCGTGTGTCTCTAGGGATCCTGAGAAACATTGGGTAAAGCTTCGTGTGGGGACATCGTCAACAAAACCTAGATGCAAAGAGGTCTTCGGGCTCTTACGTGTCTCTGGCCTTTGGAGGTCTTACGGCTCAATCACTTTTAATTGATTCGGGCTTTTGGAGTTGACAGGGTTTGGGGGGGTGTAAGAGGGATTGTGGGCTTGTCGGGGTGTATATTATTAGGGGCTCAGGGTGCTGGGTTCAGGTTTCGAGGGGTTTGGGTCTGGGGTTACTCTCTAAGTGTCCCGGGTCGCCCAAGCGTTTCGAGGGTCCCGGCGGTAAGGGCAGAGCCCTTAACAATCCTGTAGACCTGATCGCTAGGACCTAGAGTAGGCCCTTATTCCCTTTTTGTAGGGCTCAGGTTCCCGTATAAC